CCCTCTCCTTGACCCACAAAACACACAATACAAAATCCAAGATGATTGAAAGCGCGCACCGAATTGATCATGCCTTTTTGACCACGAAAATTGCTCTGCACACTTCGATTCTTCGTCAAAGCCGATAATTCCTTCAGCAATCCATAAATCCAGCCGATTTGAATCGAATGCGATTTGAATCGTGAAAATTGTAGCATGTCTCCAGGACATAGAGTCGTTCAAGTCATGGACATTTCAGAAATCGCGCACGGAATTGATCGTTTACGTTATGTTCGTTCACCTTGATCGACAGGTCTTCAACTCAATGACCGTCGCGGTGGAGCAGCCCCGTCGTCGCAATACACTGCTTCGCTTTTCCACATGTCTCGAACTCCGGCAGGCTGCATTATTCCTGTTCGCGACCTTCAGATCCATTGCTACTTTGGTGAAGTCTCCGATAACATTCCGAATCGGCTCCGCGTTGGAACTTTAGCCCGTACACACGTTGTGGCTAAGCGCAATTCATATACATGTTACAGTAAAGGCGGGTCTGGATGCCACATTTTTCATGGATTTATGAATGACCACCATATAACGGTGAAAACAGCAAATAATCCGCATAATAGGCTCGTCCGGTTATGGTAACTGGGCATGGAAGATGATAACGTTATAGACAACGAATTGGGCCCTACAACGCACAGTACTGTATACTATGAATAGTATAGTGATTCTGGCTATTAATAGCGCTCATGGTGGTGCAGACAAAACTGCAATTTTCAAGCTGCGTGAGGTCACTTTACCCTCTTCTTGATTTGTTCAAAACGTATTACAAGATGCCCATGAGCAGTGTCGCCCAGCCGAGCCAGTAGGGTGGTCATTGAAGGCACCTCTGATTTCATTTACGCTGCATTTGCTTGAACCAACCGTGTGCTGAGATGTGCATTTAGTGGTCAAAATAATTTCAATTGTAGGTTGCCGTTAGATGTTCACAAAACGGTAAAAATGGCCGATTTGCCTTGTCGTGGTAAAGATGTGCCGTTTTGGGTACAGTAGATAAGTTACCGTCATACGTATTCGACCCCAAAAACGGTAAAATAGCGTTTACTCTCGCACCATTATTGGGGATGCCCTTACCTTTACAGTAGCTGTCCTACTCGTATTACGTAAAACAGTACCAGGAACATTGACGTCTCAGCACACGAATGAACAAGGGGTCTATATTATCGACAAACACCCTCAGCACGGATGTGTACATATATCTTTGCACCCAAAGGTCGAAGTACCAGAGACCATCGTGCACCCAGTTTGCACCTACATCCGAATAGTTTTCTCACGGGTACGACCAGCTGGAAAGATTATCTCATGGTGTTCGTCGTCAAGAGCCATTATTGGCTAGCAAAATGGTTCCTAGAGAGTATGATAGGCTTATCTATTCGAATAATTCGAAAGATATCATTTTGCGCACTTTGATTGGATTATGCCTAATCAGATATATTTGTATCAGAACAATTTGTAACCAGGACATCCTGGTTCTTATCGTCGTGATATTGTGGTCGTGGTACCACGAGAATTTTTAAGACCCCAACGCATTCACAGAACTACTTTGTCGACGACATCACCATGCTTGCACACCGAACATTGACTTCCCTGCGTCAGTCGACGCTGCGAACATGCGGCGCCCTTCGTCACCGCTCCCACTCGGCCGTGCTGAAGGAGTTTGCGCCTATGTACACCAAGGCCACCAACGGCCATCACGACGCCGACGCCATCCCTTATGAGCCCTTGAACATCAATCGATTGGCGTTCATCGGAGGAGGCAACATGGCCGAAGCCATTATCTCGGGTATCATGGTCCAGGAACTGCTCCCGCCGAACAAGATTATGGTGTCCTCTCCCACCGAAGGTACCTTAGTCTGAAGTGATCCATGACTGACGACTACTCGTAGAGTCGCGCGACAAGTTCAACAAAATGCTGATTCCTACGGCAGAGAAGAACAAGAATGCTCTGGTTGGCGCCGACGTCGTTGTGGTCGCTGTGAAGCCGCAAGTGATTCCCCAGGTACTGAACAATACTTCCCATCATCGCGTCCTCACGTCTGCATAGATCGTTCCCGATTTGTTAAAGTACATGGATCCGAATGCGCTTGTCATTTCCATCGCCGCGGGGGTCACCATCGACGGTAACGTTACTGTCGTCGTCGCATTCATCCCTCACGAAATGTGACTTTGGTACACAGAATTCAAAGCGAACTTGGGACCAGACGTGTGTATCGTGCGGTCCATGCCCAACACGCCGGCCATGATTGGCGAAGGGATTACAGTGTGGACACAGTCCTCCAACGTCAGCGCCGTCCAGCACGAACTGGTACCGTCTATTGTTGGAACCTTCGAGTGCATTCTCATACGAATAATGTACCTGGTAGACCAAGAGCATTTTGGGCGCATTTGGCCATGCAATCTTTGTCGACGACGAGAACAACTTGGACATGGCCACGGCCTTGTCTGGCTCCGGTCCTGGTACGCTCATCCTCTATTTTTTACGATAAATGAATCATCTTGTATGATAAAGGAATCATCTTTCATGATAAATGAATCATCTTGTGTGATAAAGGAATCATTTATTTACCGTTTTTCCATTAGCATACTTCTATTTGGTCGCGGAAGCCATGATTGATGCCGGTGTGCACTTGGGATTCAGTCGGTCCGTGTCCCAGGTAATATATATATATATATATATATCTTGTTTGAACGGTAGTTTAAATATTATGATAGAAATTGGTACAGCAGACGATGCTCGGGTCGGCTCTGTACATGCAGGCATCAGGCAAACACCCTGTCGTCCTTCGCAACCAAATCACAAGTCCAGGTAATACTGCATGCTCCATGTATGCAATAGTCAGTCCTCAGGATGACGATTGTCCTAGGCGGCACGACGGCGGCGGCCATGTTCCGGGCGGAGAAGAGCGGATTCCGCGCTGTGATTGCCGACTCTGTCTGGGCTGCGTACAACCGATCCAAAGAGTTGGGAGCGCAAAAACGAAGTTGAGAATACATTGTGATGGGTCTCGTAACTTGATGGATAAACATAATGGTAAATCATGGGATATACTATTTGTTGATATCGGAGATTATTTGTCTTCCAAGTTGATACTCGTGCCAAAGCGAGCATACAACACCTTCTTCAGGGCCTACATCATCAATCACATCGGGACATGTCAATCAATATGGCGGGGGTGGAGCGAAGGACGTACGTCTTGACGCGCTTCCAACTTGGATTCCTCGGCATTGAGCTTGGAGACAACGGCGTTCGCTTTCTATGGCACGAAGGAAAGGATGGATTCAAATCGAGATGTAGGGGGACTTACGTCTGTCTGCGCTTCCAAGTACTCTTGGGCATCTTCTTCCGAGACTTCAACAAACGATTCTCCGATGAACAGCCTACATACGTAAATGCATGCCTGTTAGTCATGGAGCCATCGCACGTTGCTTGTCGTACTGGACATTGTCACCAGCACCCATCATGATTTCCGTGTTCGCATCGTCCAGGGTTTCCAGTTTTTCCTGTGGACAGTGAGCACGACCCGAGTTCTGGACCGTACACGTTGTTTGAGTTTGTACCTTGAGCGCCTTCAATTCATCACGAAGATCTGCGAGACGGGAGTTGTTGCGGCCGAATTCATTGATACGGTCCTGGTCTTCCTTGCGTACCTAGATCATGGTCCGTGAGCATGGATAGTTCGTCTTGAGCGCACGCACGTCAACTTCGACTTCTTGCTGTGGGGCCAACATGACGGTGTGTCGAAGCCGAACGATTGCTTGCCAGTGGCAGTAAATTCAAATTCATCCTCCAATCGAAACCTGAATGCAACTTATTTTCAACCAATCCAAAGTCGTTATTCACACAGATTCGTATCATTGGTTGAAATCCTATCGTCATTTAATTAGTGTCATAATCATGACGTGGCAACAGGACGACCCTGCTGCATTCGTGTAATTAATACAGTAATTCTTGGTCGCATCTATAATAACGATTAACATACATCATCGTCCATCCAATCTGCAAGATCTATCCTCGAAACGTACACCCTAGGGGCTAGCGAGGCTATGTAGCTAGCTAGCTACAACGCGCTCTGACAAGAATATGTAGTCAAGGTACCTTGTATCCCCAGCGTATGGTACGCGTAATAACGATCTTCTGAACTACAGTATACTGTATACCTTCAATATGCATGACTGACTGGTTTCTGAAATCAGGACCCCTATCAACTAACGTTAGTACAGACAGTACTGTACGTAAGTACCCAACCCGCCATACTTTCTCCGGCAAGGGACTCGCTGCAAGGAAGGTCCTATCCCCATCTTCTTGACACTAAAGCTATCGCGATCCATCCCCGGCGCTGTCAACCCATCAAGTGGTCCAAGTGCGTCGTTCTAGTTGCAGCAGTCGCCACGTTGAAGTAATGGCCGCCAACTTCAACTCACCAACTGCCACACAAACGACGAAATTCCACGGAAGGAAAAATCTTTTTTTCCACAACATTTGCTGCAAAAACACGCAACCGAGATTTTATCATACAATAATCAAGTGTATTGTGGAACGGTCCAAAAGCCCCCAATTATTTTTTGGCGTGTGATTGGTTTGACACCTTGCACTGTGAAACGCACCAGTGTCCCTTTCGCCTCGTCGTGAGAGCATCATGGCGGGTTCGAAGAGCGTCAACGTCGCGGATACGTTCAAAAGTCCTGCGCTCAAGAGCCCCAACCTCTTCCAGTACGAGGCGGAGAAGCAGAGCTACGAGTTCTTCTACCCGTCCCCGCACAGCGCGGCGCGGCAAACCACGGTGCGAAGCGCGGTGATGAACCTTGTCACGACGCTCATCGGCGGTGGGGTGCTTCTCTTGCCGTTCACGATCGCCAAGAGCGGGATCGTCGTCGGGTGTATCATCATGCTGTGCTGCGCCACGGCGTCCAGCTTCACGTCGTACATCCTCGTGAGCTGCTCGCGTCGGTCCGGCGCGCAATCATACGAAGAAATCGCGCGGAATGCGTTTGGGCGGAAGATGCAAGTGGTCACGATGGTCCTGCTCATCTTGCTCATCTTCCTCGCGTTTGTCGGGTACGTGATCCTCGTGCGGGATATTGCCGGATCCCTCGCGTCGCAGTTCATCTTTGGCCGGACGCTGTCGGTCGCCGACGAGAACCTCGTCGCCATGGGAGTCGTGGCGCTGGTGTCCCCGCTCCTGTTCCTCCGCAGCATGCATTCGCTTCGCCACACGTCGGTGATCGGTCTAAGCACTGTCGGCATCTTTGCGTTTGGCATTTTGTTCCGCAGCACGGAGAAGATCATGAGCCCCGAGTTCGACGCGTCCAAGCTTACGCTCGTCGCCGACAGCATCGACGGACCAATGTACGCGCTGCCGATCGTGATTTCGTCGTTTCTGTGCCACTTCAACGTGCTGCCCGTCTACGGCGAGCTGCAGAAGCCGACGCGGCGCCGCCTCAAGAAGATTGTGATCGTCACGGTGTTTTCCACGTCGGTGTTCTATATGATCTTGGGTACGCTCGGGTACATTTACGCGTTTGATCAACTCCAAGGCGTGCAGGGCGACATCCTCAACAACTTTGACCAGGGCGACGTGGTCATGAACATTGGCCGCGCCGGCATCCTCCTGACCATCTGCATGTCGCTGCCGCTGCTCATCCTGCCCACGCGCAAGACCATCTACCGCCTCTACATGCTGTGCCACGGCATCGCCACGACCGGCGGCGACGGCACGACCCAGGAAACCCAGCCGCTAATTGCCGACTCGCCATCGGTGGCCACCGACGACCTGACGGAGAAGCCCGTGCCGCTCGTGCCCCACGTTGTCATCACGCTCGTGATCCTGTTGCTGGCGTTCTACTTGGCGTTCAGCCTGCCGGGCGTGGCCGTGGTGTGGAACATCATGGGGAGCACAGTGGGCATTTTGATCTCGTACGTGTTGCCGTGTGTATGCTACATCCGCATCCGCCGCGAGAAGCCCACGACGGACTGGCGCAAGATTGGCGCGTGGGTGCTGTTGGTCATCAGCGGCAGCATCTGCTTTGTCTGCTCGGTGCAAGCATTCCACAAGCTCGGCGTGATGGTGTACGGGGTCTTGGTGGCGTAGCTACTGTACATAGGAGTTGGAGAACCAATAGAGACCTTCAACCAGGGAGTGTGACGTGTTCGATGGTCAATTCTATGTGGGCCACCACGACAGCACTTAGGTGGCTCCACGAAGCGTCTTGCGCTGCCCCATCCATCTCTATATCTTCAATCGACCCGATTTGGGAACGGGTACTATTGTAGATTCGGTACGAATCTTCCGGACCCCGCCTCACTAGCCGCGATAATTGATTGGTTGATCTGAAAATGCTTGTCGCTGATTGGCTACAATTTTCGTTCTATTTTCCATCCTTACTGCGGATATTTTGGTAGCCAATCAAATGTCGCAGCGAATTGGTTCGAACGCCGAATCGAATGACGAATCGACGCTATTGGCTAATCCAATTTTGAGTGTATTGGATTGGCTCTTAGCGCCAGTATATTCAACCAATCAGAACTCCAGCGTGGTGGAATATTGGTTCCAAAAAACACGCGAATTTTGGAAGTTTACAGCGAATATCACAATAAGTACACTTATTTGGGATTCTCAAAAAAACAACTAACGTTATGTCGTAGTTCTTTATTAGGAATCGCGTCCTCGACTTCCCGACTGGTGATGATGATGACGGATCCACGTTATGGCGCGCGGGTAAAGAACTCGACAAGTGCGTCAAAGTTGTATTGGTCCAGGAGGTGGAACAGGCGCGGCAAGTGGGTCTTGGGCTATACATGTATATCGCATGTAAAAAGTCCATTTTCGATTTGGAACGAGGGAACGTACGTTGACCCCTCGGAACTTTGAAATGTCCACGTACAAGTCGGTGAGTACGCCCGTGAGGTACGTCATGGCCCGGGGATGGGCGTCGAAGGCAGCCACGATGCGGTCGGCGTCGGCCAGGATGCGCTGGTACTCTGGCGACATCCACAGCGCATGATCTGTCTCGTGCATTTGTAGCTCCTACCCACGACGACGGAGAGTTGAGTTTGGTTGAGTTTGAGCCAAGCGAGTGGATGTATATATATATATTTATATATATTGTCACGTCGAAGCGAAATTGGAGTAAGGTGCTCAATCGAAGGAACAGAATAACCAAATCGGCAGACAACCGATCGACCAATCAAAACCCAGAACAAGAATCAAATCAAATCCACTCTTATGAAACATCGAATTAGTGTGTGACTTTCATTAGTGTGATACGTTCTTGGCGAGTATTCCATACAAAAGTCAATACAAATAGATATATATCGTCACAAAAGTAGTCCAAATGTTTTTGGGTAAAAGGACAATACATATATATATCGTCACTAGGACCTTGATGCCGTCGAGGATCTTGACTTGCGATGCCAGCATCTGCTTCTCGTCCAGCTTGGGGCGGAGAAGGGCGAGTACGACCGCCGTGCTCTCGTTCTTGATGTCGAACGTCATGTTGAGCGTAACCTTGCGCGCCGTCGCCTCCTTCGTGATGACTTCCTTCAAGATGGCGATCGCCGACACTGAGCTCGACAGGAACCGCGCCTCGCCCTTTCTGTGAATCCCCATAACGTTATCACAGTCTTATGCAATATATATATCCTATGCATACTAAGACCAGATGCAACCGACGTACTTGTATTCGCACACAAGGATGTTGCCAACGAAGGTATTGCGGAAGAACAGTTTGCCCTCGTCATCTTGCATGCGCACGGGGACATCTGGGAGGCAAAAAGATACCCACTCGTGCACTTGAATCAACGAAAACGCGCCTATGCATCTCTGGTATGAAACAACCCATTTATCAACCTATATATATATATATATTTATATGAATGGGCTTTCGGATTGTAGTATACTAGTACTACTAGTAGTAGAATGTACCAGTAAAGTGGAGCGAGTTCATGACGCTTTCATCCACGTCGGCCGAGTCGACAACGTTCACGCGGTGGTGCAAACTCAGCGGCTTCACCACGACCTTGACGCATTGCGCCGCCTTGGGCACGGTCTCGGCCAGTACCGTGAGCTATACATGCATTCCCCACTGTCAAGGACCGTCACTCTGTATAACTGTTTATCCGTACTTCAACGTCGCCGTATTGTCCCTCGAGCGTCCGGATACGGAACTCGAGGCGGTTGGTCAGCTCCTGGCACCGGTACGTGGCCAGCACGTGTGAGTTGGTGGTCGGCGACCGGCACAAAATCGCTTGGTTTTTGACCGTGTCGAGCAAGTCCAGCGGCACACTCGAGTGCAAACTCACGCACGCAATGGGCACGGGGATTTCGACCTGTATCGCATGGTGGTTGAAACACACCAGAATGATATATCTGTGACACGTACGGCAATGTCGTACGTTTGGTTATCCGGATTGAGCACGCATTGGCAGTTCACGGGCACTTCCTCGACCACGGGCAGGCACTCGTCGCCTTTTCGAGACGACTTTTCTTTCTCTTTGAGCACCTACACTCGATTTCCCGATATATTTGGACTACTGAGCATATAGTATACGACAGACCTTTTCCTCGAGAATCGCAATCTCTTTGCGCAGCTTGACGATGCGCGTCTCCCGCTGCACCGTGCCGCGCGACCGCCCATAGCTGTCTTCCATGTCCTACAATGTTGATATCAGGTGAACGCTGTCACAAGTTTCGACATTGACCTTTGAACCCGTAACGAACTTTGAATCGACCAACTTACCGGTTGATCCAACGGTTCAGACGTGAGCGACATGACCCGTCCAGAGTACGTGCACAGCACCACTTCGTCATATCCCTAGCCAACATCACAGAGGTATGAGATATATCGCGTCGTCCATCGTTTTCGTAGTCCTACTACTTAGTATGGAAATGTGGTTTACTAGTAGGTACTACATGTAGCTGTACGTACTGGAGTGCCGAGCACCCCCGCCTGCAACGCGCGGACGCTTTCATTGGCCACGTATTCAAACTCTTTGACGATGTTACCGCTCTCGTCAACCGAGTAGATCTCCACGCGCCCGTCTTCCCGGCCAATCTACGCGTATATGACGTCCACCAAGTCGTGTGTCTGTCGTCGTTACCACGACTTCGGCGGCGCCATCCTTGTTGATATCGTACGTGACCATGGATGTGATGGGCGACGGCGCGGCCTTGTCCTGCGCCGTCTTCCACACAGTCTTGAGCTTGCCGCCGTTGGTGAGCGTCACAAGGCCGAATGTGCCGCCCGCGGTGCCGTACAGAATCTTGGAGCCCATGCTCGTGAGCGTCGTGACAGCCCCCGACGTCGCCTTCTTGGCGAGCACGACATTGCCCTAGCGCCATCGCATGTTGTGAAAAGAACACGTGGACAAGATAACGCTAGTACCCGCATCACACGAATGTACTTGTCCTGGCAGCCCAACACTGCGTGAAACTCGTTCGAGTCGGCGTCTTGATGCAAGAGGAGGTCGTGGATCCGGTCTTGGCACATGGACGTTTCCTTGTCGACGCCGTTTTCAAACTGGTTGTAAATGTAATCCGTGGCTAATACATGTGCGCAACCACTTGGTCAAGTGGGGGCTCAGGATGATGATGATGGTTGGTGATGTAAGTCTGTCAGTCGTACATATCCACAGCTTGCTGTCGTACGAGTGCACGCGGTTGATCGTTTCCGACAAGTTGGTCGGAAACTTGAAAAACTCCTTGCCCTTCTTGTTGTACCCGACGACTTGCTGGCCGCTCGACACGTACGCGCGGTCTTCCGTGCCCTTGAAGTTGCCCAACGTGATGCACGTGATTGGGTTTGCGTGGGCGTTAGACTTGTACACAGCCTACAACGAGGTGTGACATTACGACGGACGGACAACGAGACTGATAGCGTGTCTTACTGCTGGCTCACCCTTCTTCATCTGAAACGAAGATACGACGCCGGAATCATCGCCGACAACCAGTTTTTGCTACGGCCACAGTGTCATGACGATGCGGATGGCGTGAGGGTACATGATGAGAGTGATGTCTGTGCCTACCTTCTTCTTCTTCTTGCTAAGAGGAAGCAACTTGAGCGTCGCGCGGCTCGAGATGGCGCCGACCTTGAACAGTTCTGCGTGGTTCAGCGTCAAGCTCATAAGATCGTGTTTTGTCCTTTCACAAATATATTTCCGGCTGTAATATTGGATTTCCGGATAAACCTTGTATGCAATATCTAACATCATCAAATTTCCGAGGTTTCCAGTGTATCTTGAAAAGATACGTCGGTCGCGATGCAGGTTGTCGGCGGGCCACAGGAAGAGCGGTCGCGGCGGCTCATGCGTGACCCGATGATGGACGCACCGACGAAAGAGAGAGAATTCGTCGTTCCTGTAGACTTTCGCATGCAGGAGGAGACGTATCAGGAGAAGTTTGCGGCGCAGCACGAAGAAATCACGTTCCTCAAGACGTACATTGAAAAGTTGTTGAACCAGCTCCGTCGCGTGCTGGTGAAGCACAACGAGTTAGAGCAGCTCCAAACCCTTTGTGATCCCACGACAACACATGTTGCCGACGATGGTGAGGACTCCATGACGCCTCCTCCTTGGTTTACGTCCAAGGAGTACATGAGTCCGTTGTTCGCAGCGTACGAAGGCCGCATCAAGGAACTGGTGCGTTCATTCCACACTAGCACCAAGATAAGATCCTCCCAACGCAACATGACGTGTGTCTAGGAATCCACGTGCGACAAGCACCGCAAGGACCTCGACGCATTCGTTGCCCACGCAACGTCGCTCACGTCCGAGAACGACCGATTGAATCAGTACGTATGCAGCACTCCTTCCATCCAAAACAGTACATCAAACTCGTTCCCCTGGAATACCATCATTGCGCGTATGATGCACATGTAGCATTATCATAACTACTCCTCGTGTGTGACATATTAGGGAACTCACGACGGCGCTGGAGAAGCTCATCATGCATGCCGAGGCGCCTTCTTCTGGAGGCCGCGGGTCGTCCGACTTCTTTGCCACGTTGACACCCGTCGACTCGACAGCCGACCAGCTAGCCGAAATGAACGAGCGGCTGGACTTTCTCATGTCTGTACGTGGCAGAGAGAGATATGCGACCGCATGTGCTCACTTGAAACAGGAGAACAACTTGTTGGCGGAGCAGCGGTCCCTCGTCGAGACCGAGCTGGACGAGTGCCAGCGCGACATTCACGACCGCGACGACCAGCTGCTGGCCATGAGTCACAACTTCAACCAGGCGACGGTGGCCATCCAGGAACTGCGCGACTCGTGCGATCACTTGAAGCTGGAAAAGCAAAAGTGCGAAGTGCAAGTGCAGCAGTTTGCAGCCACGATCGCCCAGTTGGAGGCCCAGAAAGAAACCATCGCCAGTCGCGTCACGGGGCTACAAGCAAACGTCGCCACGTACTTGGTACGCGTATTCATTAAGAGTGTGTTGACATGTGGGGTATATACATATATATATTATATATATATATATTATATATATATTATATATTATCCGTTTCGCTAGATAAAAACCATCTGTAGTACTAGTACGCGGCCGAGGCCATTAAGTGCCCGCTGAGTGATTGTAACTTTACAGCGTAATATCAATATCATTATATATATATATAATATTATATATAATATTATATATATATATAATTCATATATGATTCACATATATATTATATACTACGTAGTATATATTATATATATATAATTCATATATATATATATATTATTCATATATTTATATACTGATCTCCCCCCTTAAACGAAACGGGGTAAACTTGATAAGTTTTGAAACTTTATATTATCCAACCATATCGGAAGGTGATGACTTTTTCAAAATTCGAACACTTGAATCGTTTGGCATTGAAATGGATGACATCATTTCCACTGTGAGAAACTGCTGGAGACGCACTGGCATACTCAGCTCTGACTTGGAGACGCCCAGCGCTTGAATGCATGTATAAATGGTTGGTTCAGACAGCCTGCAAATACCTATAAGAGTTAATTTACTGTGTGAATTGCATAATTTGCTCCGTTTCGTTTAAGGGTGGAGATCAGTATATATATTATACATATTATATATATATATATATTAGGTTGAAATGTGTGTGTGTAGAACCAAATTGAAGAGTACGAACGCACAATCAGCAACGTCAAGGCGGCGTCCGAGCAAAAGCAATTGCTCGTCACGAAGCGGTACCAGGGCGTGTGTGAACGGCTGCGGGAGCTCACGACGGCATTGGATGCCAAGCACAAGCAAGTTGACGAGTGGCAAGTACGTGACGTGGTTGATCTGCGACACTGTTGGGATGGTCGTAGCAACCAGCCAAAACCAATCCTCTCCACAGGATGGTGATCATTTGTCGTTGAATCGGCTGCTTGGGCTGGTTACATTGGGTGCTGCGATTGAGATATACATGTATCGTCGTAGGAGCGGCATCGCGGGGTGGTTTCCGAGTTGGATTTGGTCAAGCACGACTGCGAGGCTATGGTCAAGGTGATGCAGAACATGGAGAAGCAACTGAATGAGTACGCCGCGCGGGAAGAGGCCGTGGCGGAGGTCGGTATCCCCCTCCTAGCGTTGTTCTACACGTTATCCATGTGATTGAGTGGAGATGTCATATGGGCGTGGTAGCTGGAACGGTCGACTGTGCACAAGGCACATGAGGCGGCGTTGGAGCGCGACCAGGTATGCCTTTGATTCTATTTGGATTGGAACGAGTATTGTATGGATTGATTTGGCAGGCGTTGGCAAAGGAGGCGCAGTGTCGGCGGGAGATTGCACGACTGCTGGAGCAAAAGCAGCTCGCTGCGTCCGAGTATCTGAAGGCCACAGACAGCGCCGTGGACAAACTCCGCCGCAAGTGCGGCATACAGACAGATGGACATTCGCATTGATGATGCATGATAGATTAGAGGGCGAGGTTCAGCACCGCGCAGACGAACTCAAGCACGCCCAGGCGGTCATTGTAACGCTCAAGATGCAACTGGTACCAACATGCTTTGGATAAAGCCGACAACCAATTGTAGGAGACGGCGTTCCGAACGCAACAAGATGCGGAAAAACACGTCCAAGAGTGTGTGGCACAGGGGGAAACTCGCCATCAAGTGTTTCTCGTACGACGCTGATTGTTTCGAACGCCCAGTCCTTTTGTACATACTATCGATCTCGTACTAGGATCAACACAAGCAACTGGCGGATCGTGTGGCAGTTGCCGAGCAACTTCGTGACGAAGTTCGTACAATACCCCGTGGATGATGTTGGCACTCTCAACATGACTAGGCGGTGGCGGCAGAGTCGCGGCTGGCGTCCGTGTTGGCGGCCAAGGACGGCCAGTTTCAGAAAACGGTGGCGGAGTTGCAGGACAAGCTAGCGGTCGAGCACGAGCACTTGAGTGGGCTGCAGAGGGAGCTGGACGTGCGGCGATCCGAGATCCGGGAAGCCCTCGAGTCGAACGCAGCCAAAGACAAGCAAGTCGCATGCCTTACAAAGGAAGTCGCGGACGTTCGAAGTGAGTGGAACCAAAAGCACAAGTACCAGCTGGACATGTACTCGCAGCAGGTTCGGGACCTCAAGGCGCGGCTCGACATGGCCGACGGCGAAGTGATGAAACTCAAGCACGACAGTGCCAAGACGGAGCACGCGCTCCGGCTCGAGCACAGCCGCATGGACGCCAAGTACAAGACAGAGCTCGAGGTCGCAAGCCACCGCGCGAGTCGGCTCAAGGACGACAAGACCCTCGTGGAAGCGCATTTGTCCGACGTCCACGCCAAGCAGTCCCAGTACGCTACCAAGGTACTGCATGACAGCATAACAACATGGGTTTTTGATTGGATTTTGTGGGGCAGATCATTGGGCTTGAACAAGAGCTGGCCGATGCACACGACCAATGCAGTCAGTGGCAAATGCATGTGGACGAGGCCGAGCGCAAGAGCGCGGACGTCGCGGCTCAGCTCAAACTGGTGCTCGCGACCCAGCAACAGAACTTAAGGGCCGACGTCGAGCTCAAGTCGGCGTTGGATCGCGTAAAACTGGAAAAGGCGCGGCTCGAGCGCGAAGTGGCGGTACGGTTTGCATTAGAGGAAGGTCATGCAAGGAGGTTTGTAGGTGCTGCGGAAAAGTCTAGAGGATCTGCGACAGCGCCCCAAGGACCCCCTCCCCCCGCATCACAATTCGAGTGCGTTCTTGCTGCCTATGGCAGTGGACAAGGTCGGCATGTAGATGCTGTTACTAGACAGGTCACTTTGCTATGGAGACACTGTTATGCACGATGATAATGCATGGGCCTTGCATACTCCAAGTGTACCCTATCATCATGGCGGTGTTGCTGTGTAAATATAACATGTGCCTGTTGAAGATCGTGCTTTATCCGGATTTTTTCGATTGGAGACGCGTCGTTCTAGAAGCGACAGTTGAGTTTTGTGATGGGCCAAACCACAACTGGTACAAATCCATTTGAAATCACCCACGGAAAAAATGATCGTTTCACTGTCAATGAAAAGTCCTGTGATGGGTTTACATTGTTGGTGGGGTGAAAGTCTAAGCCTCGCGTTAATAAGTGTTTATGGTTATGTACTGAGTGACTCTACTGACTTCACGTAATGACGAGAATTCATCGTCGTCCTCCCCCCATCCACTTCGCCATTTGGGTTGCAGCCCAAGTTGAAGCTACAGCTCTAGTACAGTATTACAGCCAGAGGTGGCAACGTTTAAACTGATCATCTTGAGCAGTCAATGACGACACAAGGGCCAATCACCGACGAAGGAAAAGTGCCTGGACCAATCAAAGTGCTTGCTTTCCCCCAAATAATCAACACGTTAATCTGTGTCGTCTCATGCCACATCACAGTCAACCAACCAACCACAATAAAACGTACTACTGATATTAGGCAAAGTCCATCTGATGGTCACCACTGCTTTGCAAACACGAGCACGGATTTCCATCCACGGACGTCCATTATACTCCGGAGTATTGGGTTTGAATACCCCCCGTCCACATGTGTGTCTACAGACTTGCCGAGTCTTTTCATAACGATGCAATGTATATATCGTGCATTGGCGTGATGTGGCTCTCGTGGTTGTTGTGGCTACATATCAGAATTGCTATAGTAACGTTTGTCCCTTCACGACGATATCTTGACAGCGAAAATGGGGGTTTCTAGCTCATTGTAGGGAGTCAACATCCAGGCCTCCATAACCTTAGCGCCATAAAGTATCGCAAGGCTCTCTGGTAACTACGAACGACGTGACAGCCGAAGAGCACCGTCGTTTCGCTACCACCATTTTCCGCATACCGATACAGTCTCTCGGCCATACATGTGGGACATGCGAATTTGCCCCATCATTTGGCCCACGCCTCTATTTCAGTAGCCAATCAAACGTCAGGATTGTCCCACCCGCCAGTCAAAATCTGGGGCGAGAGCCAGTAACCTGCGCGGGGCAAAGTCCACAACGGCATCTGAAGCAACATTTTCAATTTCTCGGCTGAGCATGGTCGACTCGAGCCACTTTGTGTGCGAGTGCGATGCCGCTGCACCCGAAGACCTCAAGGTCCACGGCGCCAACTGCTCCTTGGCTATCCTCAAGTGTCCTTGGCAATGGCGCGAGCCCTTCCTCGACGAGCGCCGCAACAAACTTAAACGCAAGCTCGGCGACACGAAATGGAAAGACCCCGTCGATCCGGGGTTCATCGACCACATGGAACCCGGGGCCGGCAAGAAACGGTTCCGCGACGTCGAATCCGACGAACTGTCCAACATCCACAGCGAAATCCAACGGCTAAATCGTGCCAAAGCCTCCTGTGCCGAGCATGCGTCGTCGTGGGACGAATGCAACGACGACCCGTCGAAAACGACCCAAGACGACAATTCATCGGTATGGAGGAAGGGATCCGAGAGTCCCAACACGGTCGCGGCGCCCATGTGCAGCAGCGAAGACATGGCGTACCTGGACAGTATCTTGTTGCCCGTGGAGCTGTTTGCTAGGGATGTCGACGCGTTCGAGCACGTCGCTCCCGACTCGGAAGTCTATGGCTTTCACACGTTGGCGTTGCTGGAAGAACCGTTCCTGCAGTTACTCTCGGATCGATATGAAACGTACTTGACATACGACGACGAGGAATTGAGCATCGACAGCGACGCCGACAGCGACGGCAGCACCACGCCATAGACGACGAACAATATTTATTAGAAACCCCCACAGCACTGAACACAAACAAATAATGCGTGTATATATTATATATATATGTGATTGCCTTCATCCACGACTAAGTACCGGTAGGTGTACTTGCAACGAGTCCAGGTTGATGCCGAACAGCGAGGGCCAACTTCGTACTCCATTGCAGAAGAGGTACGAGGAAGCGGTCAGCCAGCATTGGGCTGCAGCAACTTACAATGTTGTGGCCTTCCCAAAGGCTAATCAATATATAAGCTGACTCCTGCGATTGTTGGTGTTTGTGAACCGGTTGCGTTATCCGGATTGGATGAGATGGCAATTCTCAGCAGACGAACAAAACCCTGCCGAGTTCCGCCGCGATACTGTATAGTCACCGACCAAGCACGCTGACCTGTGCGTACGTACGATGCTGGCAATGAACATGCGGCAGCTCAAGCACAAGACACTGACGCGCATGGGCGTGGCGCAATCTCTGTGCGACCCGTCGTTTGAAGCCCTGTCGATTTCATTTCAACGCATTGAAGAGTCGCTTCCGCATGTGTACCATCACATCCTCACGTCCCTCACGAGCTGCCATGCCTGCTGTCACACCCTTGGCACCACCTTTCAGCATATCCCGAGCGCCATGCCTGAAGAAGGGGATCCGTTCGGTTGGACCATGCAGCGGGTACGCGAACAGGCCGATTGCCTCGAGCAAGCGGTCACGCTGACGGTGTTGGCGCCCGTTCAAGCTCTTATGCAGCGTTGCGCCGTCTTGCGGTCCAAACTCAACGAACGCGAGACGTACGTGATCAACTACGACTTGTGCAAGCTTGATTTCGCATCGGCGGCGGCGACGGACCTGCTTCGACCCCAAAAGCAGGAAAAAATGGAGCAGGCGTGGCAGGAGTACCAGTCGTTCATGCACGTCATCGTGCAAGACATTTTGCAACTTGAGATCGATCATGTGAGTGTACGAGCCGAGGCGCTGGAGGCCATGAAGCTCCACGTGGCCAAGTTCTTTCTCGGATGTCAAAAGAAACTTTGGGCGGCATTGGACGTCCCGCCGCCTGCCGCGGACGCCATGGCCGACGAGGACGATGGCCAAGCTTCTCGATCGAGCAAGATAATGCGATCACGAGGACATGAGCCGCATAGCATGCGGTCGTTGGCGAAGCAGTTTTCGAATGCGGACGACGTGGAGACCACCAGTCCGTCCCATCGCAATGCTCATCTACAGCTTCCACCTCATCAGGATGCCAAGGTGGATGAGGTGCCAGCATCCTCTTCTTCTGTGACGGACGTAGTATCGGCTCCGATGTCGGCGTTGCCCCTCAGTCCACGGAGCAGAGCGGCGGCGGCGGCATCGCCACGAAGTCCTCAGCAGCAGGGTTGGTTCCTCGACTTTCTCTGGAGTCAAGACCAAGTTCCCCCCAGTAGTCCCAAGAGCCCCCAGAAAGCAAAGTCCAAGAAGCATCACATGACGCTGGCGCCGATGGAATGGGCGGCCGTGGAGGACGCCCTGTGGGAGCTCGACCAACAAGCAGCAGCAGCTGCCCCCCCCCCTCGTCGTGGCTGGGCGGACGAGTGCCCCACGTTCCCTCTGCCTCTGGTACGTCCGTTTATTCTCGTTTTCGTCTGATCGTTGACGATCAATAGACGCCGGCCCTTGTAGTGACCGTGTGCTCATATTTGGACGTGGTGTCTGTCGGCCAAGTGGCGCAGACCTGCCGCGGCGCGAGGCGGCACCTCGTGCCCTCGACAGCGTTGTGGCACCGGATGATCCGGCTCGGGGGGGTGCCGGCGGCGTGCCGGTGTGCGTTTTGGGTATGGTTCCAGTTCCAACGCCGAGACCCTACGTTCAACGCAACCGCCGCGTATGACCAGCTGCTCGTGTCCGCCGCGCAGCTGGTTCGAGTCAACTCATTGGCGACTCCCCTGTCCCGCTCTGGTTTTCAAGCCGCCGACGATCGTAAGACGACGATGGCTTGTGTGTGATTTGTTATTAATTGTTACGGTAGGACATTTGACCGATGTGATGGACAGCGAGGACCGTCAGATCTTGGCCTGGTTCAACGACATTGACGTTGACGTGAACCGAACGTGCCACAAAACGCTCTTCACAAAGGATGTGGTACGGGTATATATATATATAGTTGGAAAACAATCATATATATATTTTTTGTTCCAGGAAACGATACATATATTGTTTTGATGTGGTGATAATTGCCTATATGATTCGCTTCCAACCAGCTCAACGATATATATCGATATCGTTCATGTTGTATGATATATGGTAGGCAGAGGAATGGGACTTGGTGCAAATCCCCGAGATGGACGTGGCAGCGATGGTGGAGCAGGCGCTGGTGGGGGTATCGAGCCCCCGCCGAGAAGCCGTCGAGCAGACGGACGAAGACCGCGCGGTGCTGCACGCGGCCATGCGTCGGCTGCTTCGGGCGTACGTGATGTTCAATCCTGAGATCGGGTACTGCCAGGGCATGAACTTCATCGTGCGGCTGCTCCTGGACAACCCCCGCGCCGAAGAAGCGCATGTATTTTGGACGTTTGTGAGTCTCTGCGACGCCGAGTCATCGCTGTACGAACCAGGTTTCCACACATTGCACACACTTTTCACCAAAGTACGTGGTTTTATGAGACATGGGACACAGCTCGTATGTGACATGGCGTGGCGAATTAGTTGGAAGTGCTGGTGCAGCAGCAAATGCCAGACATGCACCGCCACTTGCAGGCGCAAGGAGTGGCCGTGAGCATGTTTGCCGCTCGGTGGTTCCTCACACTATTTACGTCGCTGGAAACGTTTGGGCCGACGCTGGTGCTTCGCCTCCTCGACTTGTACCATCTCGACCGCCACCGGATTCTATGTGGAATTGCGCTTGTTGTGCTCGAAGAACTCAAGGATTTGGTGTTGGAGTCGGAATTTGAGACGATTTTGGCCATTTTGCAGTACCCACGACATTACATGCCCGAGCCCGACTTTGCCAAGCGCAAAGAGCTCATGCAGCACGCCCTCGTCGTCAGCATCACGCGTATTTTATTGAATTAAGTTATATATATATATATATATATTACATCCATACTATATATATATATATATATATAACGTACTAGTATGGATATTATACAACCATACTAGTACGATTAATACGACCAGCGAAACCACCACCACCAACCATACCGTAACAACCCATGCACGAGATACGGCACGTTGGTTTCAAGGAGCAATTAGAAAAATAATTATTCAGAGCTATTACATTTTTGATTTAGATTTAGGAAAGTATTTTTTTTAAATAGTTTCCTAAATCTAAAACAATCTACAAGAAGATAAAACTTTCAAAAAATTGTACATGTATATTTTTGTGTCAAGTAATTATTTTAAAAGAGATCAAGGCAGGTGGTCTGATATTATATAGGTGGTCTGATTATTATATATATAGTTGTTGTCATGAGCTACGAGTACTACGTAGTAATACACGACCAACACCACAACGGCGTCGCTACGTGGCTGCATGTTGTGCCGGGAGGGTACGACACAGATGCAACCGACAGAGCACACAGGAGCGTTGGGGTCGACTTGTTAGCGTCATGGGGAGCTGTGGAGCAGAGTACGTGAGCACCAATGCGTTGGCCTTGCAAAACACGACGCCTGCGACACTGGTAAACAAGATGAACGCGATCGAATTGACGGCGAACGCCACTTGGAGGAGGCCAGATGGGTCGGACCAGAGCGACGACATCAACTGGACAAAGCTGGACAGTGCCAGCGTGTTGATGATGCGCATGTAGAGCGGAAATGCCGGCGGGTCGTTCCAAATCTGCTGCACGGCGCGGTCGAATTCCGCCGATCGGACGATGGCGCCCAAGATCGTCATGCCTCCAGTCCAGACAACCAGACCGGAGAAGGGAGAGCCACTCACGAGGGCCGATGCCGCGACCACGACAGCCGACGGGGCCGTCGCCGCGACCAATCGGCGAGGAGCCATCACAGCTGTGACAAACTCGGACAAGGTCATGGGGGCGCGCAGGGCGGGCAGCAGGGGGCGACGGAAAGAGGCGGGGGGGGGCGAAGCATGATGATGGGACGATCGGCAGATATATGACGTGCGGCAGCGCTCGACGCACGCCCGATGGGCCATCTTGCGGGTGAGGGTGATGGCATGCCGACACTGGCAGGGCGACGCCAGCCACGTCGACACGCCGTGCGCGGCACACGCATGCTCGTCTTCCCACGCACGTTGCGACGGCGTCATGAGGTCAAACGAGAGGCACAGCTCGCACTGGTACAGCGCTCCACCTCGACCCACCACCGCCGCAATGTGCTTCCATTGCAGGCCGTTTGTCGGTGGCGGAAATGGCCGACACGGGGCGCGCTTGTGTCTGTGGGAGCTGGGAAACACCGTCGCCAGCACGAACCGCTCGACGGCGGCGAGCGGCGAGTCGGCAAACAGCGAGGACACCCCCACCACGGGTATCGTGCGCGGCATTTTGGCGGCAGGCGATTGCACGAACGAGGCGAACTTGGCGTGCCAGATCGACGGGGCGACGAGGGCTTGGTGGTGCTTGGAGCACGCGGCCAACGCCGCCAAGTCGGACGGCGCCACGAACGTCGCGATGTGGCGGACGATGTCGACGGGAAACGCCAGCGGTTGGGGGGGTACGACCGCCGTCGGCTGGAGCAGGCGCGCGATGCCCCCCACGACCACACTAAAGCACACGACGCACACGACGCACACGAGTGGCGGCATCGGATTCCGCACGGCCGACGCCATCGCGTGCACGAGCCCGTCGGGGGTGACGATTATACTCGCCACGACACCAACGATCCCAACCACCGGGTACACATACCCCCCCAGATGGACACGGGGGAGTACGGTCGCCTTGTCTGCCGTCGAGTGCAAGAGCACCACGTGCGTGACCAACCCGAGGCTGCCCGTCAAGACGCCATACAACGGATGCGACGAAGTAGAATTTGGGAATACGGGGGCTGTATCGTCGTCATACAAAGAGTATGTGAAGATGCTGCCGAGGACGATCGTGGCCGACCAGAGCGTGCACCCCACGACACGGTACACGACCCGCCCTTGGAGGCAGTAGACGGGGCGGATGGATGCCACGAGCGCCAGAATCGCACAGGCAGTCGTGGGGAAGGCCGGGATGGACGCCGGGGAAGACGAACGGAGGAGAACCATGTCCACGAGGGCGAACGCGCAGCACGCCACGACGCCCAGGATTAGGCCGAGCACGAGGTTCGGCTTGGAGTGCCGGGGGTGGTCGGGGGCCTCGGCGTTGTCAAAGCACAGCAGAGCCACAAGTAGCAGACCATGCGCCACGGTAAACATGGTGCCAATCGCGACCAAGAGTCCGTCGATCAATACAAAGTGCGCCAGGCCGCCGTATAACGTCGTGCAGGATGCCACCCACGCCAACGCGCCCAGTGCCCACGCCGCGCCTACACCACGTCGCAGATTCCAACATAAGCCAAACGAACAAGGACAATCACGTACTTTGCAGCACGACAAAGCGAAGTCCGCCGCGAAACGGCTGGACGAGGCGGTAGTTGGAATGCATGTACGGTCCGCACACGCAATGCGTGCACGCGAGGCCGGCGGCGGCGGCCACGGTGCCAAACATGAAAAACAGATGGCTGAACGACCGCCAGTGCAGCCGACACCACTCGGCCATGGCAAACAGGACAAGGGACCCGACAACGAGGACGAGGTTGGCGAGGATGGGTAGGCGGCTGCTTCGAAGGTCCATGAGGGGAGTCGCGGACGGAAGAGGGGACGACGACGAGGGGGGTTGAAAGAGGGGGACGGACGACGCCAAGACCCGATGCGGCACCACCGCCGCCACGCCCACGGCGAGAACCAGCCCCCGGACAACGTCGTCGTGGCGGATACATGCGACGATGCAAAGGCAGTCAAAGAGGGTAAACAAGGCAAAGAAGGTCCACGCCATGGCTTGGCGGAGGACGAACGCATCGCCGCCAAGGAAGGGCTGCCACATGCGATACGACGGCGACTGGAAGCGTCCGGACGCGTGCGTCGAGGCCATCGCGAGCATAGACAGCAGCAGCCCCAGCGCTACACACAGCGCCGCGGCGGTGCCGCCGACTTGGCATCCTTCCACGACGACGTGGAGGACGACCGTCGACGTCGAGAGGACGTGGCCGAGTAGGCGTTCGGGGGGCGGCAGGTGCATTGTGAAGAGGGCCGGTAGAAGCTGCGGGACGCCACGTGTGGCCATGGTGGCGCTGTGTTTAGAATCCTCATCCATGCGGAAAAACAACAGCGACAGCACAATTGTAGCACAGGAAGCGGCGCCCAAGAGCCATGCTAGCGGCAGCAACTGCACGAGAAACTGAGTGTTATTGAGGTGCATGAGGAGTGCGACGCCGACAAAGATGCCGTACCAGGTCCATCCCACCGACTGGATGAACACAAACTTGGAGTCCCCGCGGAAGGGCTGCCATAACTGATAGCGGGGGATCGCCCTGGCGCCGCCGACGTGGGTGAGGGGGGTCACTGCGCCAAGGACAAGCAAGCAGAGCAGCCCCAGTAGTCGTATCTTGGAAGGACACAGCACGGGCGGCAGCAGGTCGTGGCAAAGGGCGAGCGTGATGAGGCCGGTCATCACGAGGACGATGCCGCAGACGGCGCATTCGGCCGGGAGGCGGTGGGTGTGACGTGGCTCGACTTGGGAAGCAATTGGCTGAAAGAACGACAACGAGGTGAGGAGAAGCAGCTGCGAGATGAGCCCAAGGACCCCCATGCACGACGCCGTGCCTGCATATGACTCGGATGTGGAGCTCGACAGCAGCGCGGTGCTCACAAGGGTACACGCAAAGAACTTCCACCCGAGGTATTGCAGGAGCATAAACACGTTGCCGCCGACAAACGGCTGCCACAGCGCAAACGTGGGCAGGTCGCACCACCCGATGCCGACGTGCAACACGACGGACGAGACGCTAAAGATGACTGCTCCCAGAACGAGCAAGACCGAGGACGGCAGGATCCAGTCGAACGCGACGAAGAAAAGGCAGCCCGAGACACTGAGAAGGATGGCGACGACGGACTTGGTCGTGCTGGTGGGATGGACATGGGGCACGGGGGTATCGGCGACAAACGTGTCGAGGCTCACGTTGAGCACCATTTGCGCGATGAAGCCGACGATCCCGATGAAGAGGAACTGGCCTTCGAACCTCGTGAGGGTGTGGAAGTTGACGAGGTAGACCAGACACACGGCTAGGAGCAACCCCGTCAAGCACCACCCCACGGCTTGCATCGACACGAAGTGAAACCCGCCCTCAAAGGGCTGCCACACTTTGAATCGGTTGTTCTTCATGTACGTCCCTGCCAGTACAGTGAGAGGTCCTGTCCATGCCAGCATGAGCGTTCCCAGTGCCAGCACCGTGATGGACTCTTGGGGACGTATGTCGATGTACAGGAACAGAAAGAACGCAGTCACGCTCAACACCAACGCGGCACAACGAAGCTGACCAGTCACATCGCATTGCTCGTCGAATACCTTGCTCTGATGAAGACTCGTCCGCACAGCATCTCTCTGCATCATGGAGGGTATGTCGTCGTCAGATGATGGTGTGTGTAGTGTGTGTGTGTAGCTGCGTTACGTTGAGATGGCCCTTGGATTTCCAGATGAAATTAGCTCGGTGGTTCGATTGTCATTTTGAATACTACTGTACTACTACTATAAATAATACTACCCAAAAATTAATTTCCATAATTTTATTCCAATGTGGTGGCGACGATATACAGTATCACAGTGCATAATGTTACTCAAATAAAAAGTGAATATTATTATTAGTATTCGAATTAGTACGAAACCGTTTTTGTTCTGGGACGTAGGATTTCTGGCTCGACCTCTACGAAGTACACTCCCGAGTAAGTACGTAGTACTTAAGTGATATATACGGATAATGTAACCGGAAACCAAAGATCGAGCCCTTTTTTGCTTTTGCATGAAGGCGGTGAAACAGGTCGGGCAGTTGGTTGCAAGCCAAGGGGACGATGCAGCAACGATGGACAACGACGGGGAGATCCCAATCCAACTGAATCTACCGGGAGTGACGCTGAACTTTACCAGCGAATGGATCATGGGTACTGTCGATAGATATCATGATGTGTGTAGCAATCGATTCCTCAGTTGAGTTTGCAGACACACGCGAGTTGCAGGAAGCAAAAGCCCACCATGCCGATTTGCTCGAACGGATTCAAACGCTGGAGCAAGAAAACACGTATTTGCGTGAAAAGTGCGTCCGGATCAACGATGAATCGAACTTGGACAAGTTCAAAAGCCAACTGCTGGTGGAAATGGTATAGTATGCAACAAGCACCTTGTATGCCCCGTATGCCCCACATATATGTGCCGTAGCTCGCGATCAGTTCCCTTGACGAAGAGAAAAGCAAAGCAGAGTACATCAAGGAAAAACTTAAAGTCGAGAGCCTAAAGCACGACATGAAGGCGCTGCTGGAGAAAGCAGCCCACCACAACATCGACATCAAGCAATTTGCCACCCATCTCAAGTCTATGTAACACCTGCCTCTCGTCAACGGCTACATTAGCGTCAATGTTATATTGTGCTGGTCATTCTTAATCCATCCATTGTCTTCATCTCATGTAAACCCCGCCGCCATCATTGGCACTTCGATTTCGAGCAATGAAGGTAATATGGGGTGATACAGCCAATCACACGCCTTCTACACGGGATTGGCCAATCATACGGCGTCTAAACCAAATCAACCAATCACACATCGTTGCATGAGAGCGTTGAGTGATTCTGAAACTGTCAAAACCGCTCCACACAAGCAACCATCCATGTCTGAATTGCCGTCGGTCATGAACCCCGACGCCGCAATTGATGATCCACAGACGACGGTGCTGCTGCGCATGCGAGTTCAAGGTGTGTGTGTCGGCTACTGCCTCCCCACGGGCGAGTTCATCTTCGCCACAAAAGGCAGTCCCAAGTTCTTTGTCCCTGGTGGCGGCGACGAAGCTTCCACGCTGTACGGCGAGTCGCTCCTGTCATTCTTGTCGTCGTTGGACATTCAGCGCTATTGGCAATACATGAATGATGTGCAGACCCATCTGCACTTCTTGGACTGCAGCAACAAGGACAAGTCCATGGACATCCGTCCGATCCTGGCCAACATTGAAGGCACGCACACCACCATCCTCTTGGAAGCCATCTCCGCCCCCCTCACATTGCGCCTGCAACGATGCATCGACGCCGTCCAGAACGTCGAGCCCACACGCCGGTTCAGCGACGAGTCAACATTTGTCATCGACGACGACGACTACCAGTCCGTGATTGCCAACGGCGCGCTGCAAGTGTCTGTCCATCGCATGGAGTCCGTGACATGCGCGTCGTCGTGGACTGAGCGAGACTCGGAAGCATCTCTGGCAGACTTTGCATTTGACCTACAAGATGACTGGGGTCGACCTATGGTGGAATTGGATGATTTGCCCTACCATTTCGACACCTCCGCTGGAATATCGTTTGACTTGAGCAGTCCCGTGGCGACTAGTCAAGTGTAGCAAGCTTCTTTTGACGGTTTTGATCAATTTAATCACTTTTTCGCCCATTATTAGTAGATGGAAGCTACCAGGGTGGTCGGCCTGGGGAAAGGAAAGGTTGCCATCGAGGAGCTCGTTGAAATCCGCCGTGTTGCTGGGGGGGGTGGCTTGGTGGAGAAGGCGTCCTGCGCAACTAGAAGATTATGGTTGCGTCGGGTGCGCGCTTTGATAAGAAATCCGCTGCTTGGTTGCCGTCGTGGAGACAGTGCAGCGAGGAGGCGAGCGTCGATGCTGAAGATGCCTGTCATATTGCCTTTGACCCAAAATTTCGATTGGTGTGCTGACTCTCGATCGAATCTTTGTACTGTCAATTTGTATGTAAAAAGTTGACATGTAGTGATTGGAACCACACTAGTTAGGCTTCACACTATTTACATGTTGGTGATGGTTTCGTGCACTATGGTTGGCTAAACAATCTGGTTGGCTAAACAATCTGTTTGGCTAAATACTTCTGCTCATTGGACAATGGTATGTCGATTCATTCTCCATGCCACTCCAGTTTAGAATAAACACAATTTAGAAACAATGTGACGTTGGACAATAAATACGTAATTTACCAACAGGTATGCGACAGTCGTGTGGTGTCGACCGAATCGATAGTATCCTGTTACTACATACTAGTAGTACTAGTAGTACGTACGACATACGGTCAGACGAACCACGTGGATATCACTTTGCTTGGGCACTGTATCCATGCAAATCAAACACGTCGTGACAAGCAAGGTGGATTGTCCAAGATGGCGTGCACTCTTGACTTGCAGGAAGTGTCTCCCGTGAGCAGCTAATGATTGGAATTTATGGATGCGACCGCCAGCTGTCTAGAAATGGACAGCTGGTAACGTTATGGTCGAATATACGGATGTGTATATCGACTACTGTACGACATGGTGTGTCGGGGCTCAAAGGTTGCCGGTCTTGGGGCAGCATTGGCGTGGACTTTGATGAGTTTCGACTGACCGGATCCGCCCCCGCTGGTGGAGCACTTGAATAGCCCCTACACTAGGGAACGTATATCGTTTGTCAACTTGGAACTTAAGCTTAAATTGAGAGCACATGCAATGAAAAAAGCTGTTGAAGAAGATGTCACCCATCTCCAACGAAGCAGCCACTACTTCTGTAAGCAAGCCAACGACGAACGTGTCGCCGTGGCTTGCTTACAGAAGTGTTTATGTTCATATGACTCGCAGCAATGTTGCAGACAGCACAGTAGCCACACCGGTAGCACTACTGTATCGCCAATTACAGCGTGCGGGCTACAGATAACAACAAGGAAATACCCGTAGTTTGGTACACCTGTAAGCTACGCATGGTACAGTGGGCGTTATGGTCGCTTCCATATACCAGTAGATCAATTCAAAATGTTATTTTTCGTTTAATTTCACCCATTGTTTCTTGTATATTTCCACAAAATCCCTTCCAATATATATCTCCCAACCTTGTAAAATATTGCAATTATATTTCACCTAATCGTGCAAATATTTCCAGAAGATCACAAATAAGGTTTCAGTACTGTAACAGACTCGACGTTTGTATTGGATGAAATACTTCATATTATAACCAATTGAAGGGTTTGGTGACCACATTGAACGTCGAGTTCAAATTGCGATGGCGGACCTCCATCGAGACATGGAGAAGCTGGCCGTTGACCGCTTGGGAACGTCTATGAGGCGTCTGAATGAAGCCATCGACAGCATTCGCGCTGTTCGAATGGATCCTTCCGTGGACATTGAAGCCAAAATCCTTCAAGTTCTGCCCCTTGCACCAAACAACAGCATCAGCGAACGGCTACTCGCTCTTGTCGACGCCTTGTCTGAAGCAATCGCGGAAGCCGAAGCTCTGGAAGTATGCTGTCTCACATGGATCTTTATCCACCATTCTCATGCATGAGTAGAGCTCTCGAGATCCTCCTGTGAACAAAACCAAGCCTCGAGCGCCGTTGTGCCTGCTCAGTCTTCGCGACTACACCACCGTACAAGCAGCCGTCGAACTGATCCTCGTCTGGGGTGCGTATCCGTGCGTCGAAGCTGGCATTCTCACGCCAATCCCTCAACGTGTGGTGGCCAAGACCTTCAAGAGTACGATCGACCGACCTCATTCCCATTCCATCTCACTGGAACGTCTGGGTTGACTGTAGTTGACCGCGCCATGGTCCAACATGTGGCCACGCTGGAATCAAATCCCTCGACGCCTGCTCATTTGGACAACGTCCTGCGGGGTTTATTGCACGTTCTCGAGTTGTCTCAGTTCAAACCGATGCTGTTACCAGCCTACTTGGCCGACTTGCTTGCGTGTTTGGTGTATCGCATCCACTGCCAGCCGTCCCCTCCGCCCACCGCCGCAGCGGCCCGACTGCAGCAGCTCATGGATGTCTTGCCCATTCGTGTGTTCATGGGCAGCCTGCGCGGCGTCCTCGCGACGCCACATGCCAGTACGTTGTTTGTCCTCAGTTCCATCCCCTTCACGCTCAAGTTGTTGTTCATACACTAATTAGACACGACGTTCAAAGCGCAATGTGGACATCTCCTATCCCAGTGCGTGCTGAAGGACGGCGGCGTACTCGCGACCATCGAAATGCTGCTGAGCTCCGTCGACGACGGCAACACCCAAGCGCGGCTACACGTGGCAGCGCTAGTATACATACTACTTTCCCTCTTATGAGTGTACTAGTTCGTTGTGTTAGGTCGCTAGATGTCCTCGTGCGCTCACGACCACCCAATACCTGCTCGCGATCGGGCCCCAGGTCATGTGGCTGCTCACATACCCCACGACCAAACTGGTGCGAGAGGTGGCGGGGTTGACAGTGTCGCAGCTCATCCTCGACCATCCCATCGACCTTGTGGACCAGTGTGTCTTGCGGCCGTTGTTCCTTCCGCTCTTGCGCTTCAGCCTGCCTCCGCCATCCCCTGCGACAGTGTCTGACGGCATTGCGTTTATTTCCACGGAAAACGAGCTCGACGCGTGCATTTCCGCGTTAAAGTGTACGACCCATCACTTCAAACACATGGTGGATACATGAAACTTGAACACGAATATCGACATGTAGGCATGCTACTCGGACCGGTGCCGCCGGCGCCCGTCTTGGAAGCCCTTGTGCCTGTATTTCGACCTCTGGTGTACCTGGACGCCTTCGCCCGTGCCAGGTCGCTCTCCTTCACGTCGTCACAGGAGTTTGTTTGCATCTGACTGTGCCTTCAATAGTAAAGCATACGTCCACGCTGACACGCAGCAGCTTCTTCTGCGTAAGTTCGTCATTCGGCCTTGATTCTACCTTGTTTGGGCATACTGAGGCTACGATTTTGGCGTAGTGTTTGTACAGCAGCTGCCATCGGCCGCCTCCCGCCTTGCATCGTGTGTACTGCCCTCGTCCACGCCCCTTCGCCCGTCGCTGTGCCCCGACGACTGTACGACACCGCGTCACTCCACGTCCCAAGTGGTGTATTGCGCCGGCGGATCGGGGGGGGTGGGGCTGCGACAGGACCAACCACATGATGATAACGTCATCATTGATAACGTCATCGACGCGATCGTGGATCTGTTGGGGCAGCCTCAACTGGACGACCAGAACAATGTGGTCGTGGGCGAACTGTTTTCGCACCTGTTGACAACATACATGCACTTGAAGACATCATCTCATTTGGAACCATCAAACGATCGAAGCAAGTCTTCCGACACGGGAAGCATGCGACTGCTTCTTCGGCTCACGGAAGACCTAGGCCCTGCGGTGTTGCGCAGCGGGGTCCTTGTGCTGCAGTGCTTGGTAACGGTGCTCTCCATGTACACAAACCAGGATGCTGATGCTATTGGTGACAACGATGCTGACGACGATGACGACGACATGGACGTGCTCAGTGTGGGGCTGAGCATGGCTACGACGATCGTCCAGGCAGGCGCCGCCGCGCGCTCGGCGGACGAGGAAGCCCTCCTCACGCAGATGCTGGTGCCGTTGGAACAGCTGGCGAGGCACCCCAAGGCGCCGATTGCGGAGATGGCCAGTGACTTGTGTCTGCACATCCTCGCTCGCTCCGCAGACGACCACAAGCAGGACGTCATGACGGCAGCGCAGTCGTTCGCGGAGATGCTGGATAGGTCCAAAGCCGACTTGCAGAGCGCCCAAGTGCCGCTGCGGGCGCGGGGTCTGGCCCGACTCACGCGGTGGATTCGACGACGCCAGCCTGTGGACAACGTCGAGGCGTTGGTGGCGCTGTGTGTGCACCACCTGGCAGACGCAGACAGCTACGTATATCTGGCCGCCGTTCAAGTACGTCGTAATTTATCCTCCGTGGTGAAGGGTATGCAAAAGACGATGGTATATATATATAGGCTTTAGCTGGGCTGGGGGATGTGTACGCAGACAAGACGATTCCACTGCTGCTGGACGCACTAGCGCAAGACGCCACGTATTCGGTGGAGCAGCGAATCAAGCTCAGCGAAGCGCTCTTATTTACAGCTAGACGGTGTGGCGACGTCATGCCCAAGTACGGCCGAGCATTTGTATTTGGGTACTTGCGATGTATTCGCTCGAGAAAGCTTCCCAACGACGCCAACGAAATCGAGGAAACCACGCTACGAGCTAGTTGCTTGTCCAACTTGGCCGAAGTATACTGTATCCGAAGGTACTTGATGTTGACTGGTAGTACTTAGGTGTGTGGCCTGCTCCACTGGGCCATCTCCCCGTACATCACCGACGTGGTGGGGTGTGTGCGGGGTATCTTGGAGACGGAGCGATTGGCCACGGATGCCCACATTGCCCTTCGTCGAGGCGCGGTGTTTGTCTTGTATAATATGTTGCAGGTATGTACTATTCATACATATGTGGAAAGGAATCGATGATGGATCGGATGGTGGTGTTGGTAGTTGATGGGGCGAGACATCCTCGAAGCAGTGCCAGATGCGATGACCCCCATCTACCGGCTCTTGAAAATGGAAGCGTCGACGGAGAAGGACGCCGTGTGCCGGTTCCATGCCGAGAATAGCGTCAAGGCACTGGACACGATCATGCGCGGCGAGCTGTTCAACGTTGGCCAAGCCAGCAGCAGCCGTCCTGGTGGCCTGCCGTCGCTTATCTTCTTGAACCAAGACGAACGTTAAATCGAATAACGTAAAAGTCCAATTTAAGGTGCACGCGAATTAGCCAATCAATTCCTACAAAGGCAGTTTTTAACCTACCCGCCCAAAAAATATGCAAACGGAAATACAAAGACTAAGCTCAAAATGGTGCACCTTAAATTGGACCTCTTGTTTTAAGACAAAGTGATGTGAATCCTAATGAATTATTAATATAACAGGAATCATATCGCATTCATAACTCCCAAATAGGCCTGGATTTTGGCATCATATAACATATTGTAAATTATAATCCAATACCTACGAGTCGAAAAAGTGTTCTTAAATTGAACTTTTACGTTACATATAACGTTACGACCAGCCCATACTAAGCTTAACGTTAAACCAGTTCAAGTGGGAGTTGAGGATGTTGCATTTCGATGCTGGTTGCTCATCTTCTTTTTTACGTCCTGGTATATAAATACTCGGCTGCTTATAATTAGAGTGTGGATTGTGATTGGCTGATGGACATCCAGTGAACGACCTGATTGGCCGACGGAGAAAGATACCCGCAGCAACGTTGGCATTTCACGAAAAGTTGGCGCTGCATATGTGATCACAGTGGCCTTGGGCACTTAGCTGCATTTGCAAACGTATACCCATGAAGCGAACCATCCAGTATGTACTTGCAGGAAACCATGACAATGACGGCGCGGAGCTACTGCCGCGCAAAATGGCGTCGTTCACTGGCGCCAGCATCGTCGCTGGACGACACCACCACACCGCCGCCGATGCGTCTCCTCCGCCCGCATATTCGTCCACGACCACCAACGACTTGGACGCATTAGGCGAAGAAGGTCTCGTTCGCCTTGTCTTGACCTTCCTGGATGTAAAGGAACACCACGTGTGCAAATGTGTGAGCAGGCAGTGGAAATCGCTCGTCGAAACACTAGACCTTGCCCGTCTCGACCTGAGCGTTCGATCTCCATTGCACTCGACGAACCTCGAAAGAGCGCTGCTTTCGACCATCAACAGCTACGCTGACATCCGCGAGATCAACTTCACGGGGCAGCGATCTCTGTGCGACCGCGACGTGCTCGTGCTCACGTCATGCTTCTGGTCCACCCTCGAGACCATCGTCGTCGACGACTGCCTCAACATCACAGACTTTGGCCTGCTGGCCATCCTAAACGCCCAATCTCAGCGCCTCACGAGCGTCTCGTTTCGCCACTGCAAACTCATCGCAGGTCGCTTTGCCCAGTCCTCCATCACTGGCCAGCACCCGTCGCTGCACACGCTCGACTTTTACAACACCCGCGTCGGCCTCGGCCTCGTCCAGGACCTCGAGCGGTGCTTCCCCTCTCTCCAGCGCATCCACGCCGCGCACACCCCGGCCCACCACGACCTGTTTCAGCAAGCGCCGTTCGTCGACGCCAAGCTCGAGTGGGCGCGCGCGGTCGCCAGCCACTTCCATGACGGCCCATTCCGCCTCGTGCTGGCGGACTTCACAGCATTGGCCACCCACCTCCTCGCCACCTCGTCGCTGTCTGTGTTTGAACGAACGTTACTCACGTCTCCCACCGCCGCGTTGCTCGACGTCCCCCTCGACACGGACGGGTACACGTCGGCGCTCCTCCACGCGTGCGACAACGACTTAGACAACTTGGTGCTGCGCCTCATCAAGCTCGGCGCCGCCGTGGACGTGACCGACAATGACGGCGCCACGGCTCTGTGTCTGTCTGCAGCCACCGGCAGCCTCGCCGGCGTACACGCCCTGCTGACTGCCGGCGCCTGCGTCAACGCCCGGACGCTGTCCCTTGCAACTCCTCTGTACTTTGCCTCGGAAATGGACTGGACCGAAGTCGTGGCCCACCTCCTTGCGCACAACGCGACTCCCGACGCCAAGACCACGTCCAACTCGACGGCGCTGTGCGTGGCGGCCAAAAACGGCTCGCGGTCGTCCGTGCATCAGCTGATCCGACATCGGGCACGCCGCCCCAGCTTTGCTACGTTGACCAAGAAAGCTACGATGGAGGAGCTGATGCTGGCGCTGTGTTTGGCCTGTGAGCGTAGCCACTTGGACATTGTGCGCGACTTGCTGGCCATTGGACTCAATCCCAACCTGGTCATGGACAACGGGGTCACGCCGTTGTACTTGGCCTGCCAGATGGGACACAAAGACATCGTACAAGCGCTGTGCATGCATGGGGCGAACCCCAACTTTCGGAGACCCGCGGGGGGCGTGTCGTGCCTGTACATTGCGGCGCAGGAAGGCAAGACGGACGTCGTGCGGCTGCTGCTGTCGTTTGGGGTGGATGCCAACGCCACCATGGACGACCAAAGCGCCGCGCTGCACATTGCCGCGCGCATGGGCCATGTAGACATCGTCCAAGTGCTGCATCAAGCCACGGGCGTGGACTTGAACATGCAGACGCGGTCGGGGCTGTCGCCGCTGTTCATTGCGTGCGAAGAAGGCCACGGTGACGTTGTCGCATATTTGCTCGACAAGCATTCAACCCCCACGACAGTGCGCGTCGATTTGCAAACGTACAACGGCACCACCGCGCTGTTTATCGCGAGCCAAAAAGGCCACGTCGACATCGTCACGCGGCTGTGCGCTGCCGGCGCCGACGTCAACCTCGCCAAGACCAACGGCACACTCCCCATCGACGCCGCCGCCATGGCAGGGTGCGTGGCCGTCGCCGCGATCCTCTTGAGGCACGGCGCACGAGTCGGCGGCCTCGCGCTGCACTTTGCCGAACGGAAACGAGACTCGACGCTGCAAGCGCTGCTCATGGCGCAGTTCCACGCGCAATGGCGGCCCCTCCGCCCCCCCTATTGACCGCCGCCACCTCCACGCATCTTTCCCAGTGATGATGCTTCCAACACATAGAAGAAGGCACCAAGTGAGTGTCGCCCCCTGATGTAACGTGAGGGGGCGAAATGTACAAATGACAAAAGCAAGTGCCAGGACGATGTAGCATATAGTAATAGACCCGTCGATCGTTATTGGCTACCTCGGCTGCGCTGTGTGTTGGTTGGCTGTAGCCACAGAGAGAGAGAGAGATGGAGTACTACTACCTACAGTACAGTACATAAATATATGCCACACTACTACAGTACGTACACAGATGAAACGATCAACTAACTTAGTATTAACGTGGCTGTACAGCAAAAATCAACCCAACGTGCAACGTGCACCCGTTCATGTTGGCAAGAATAGAGTACTGTATTGGAATCACAGCTACAGTACGTTATCTGTGGCCATTGTTTGCTGTACTCGGAGAAGGAATCTAGGGTACTAGGGGGAACTAGTAGAGATTCTAAAAGATATGTTTTAGTAAGGCTTTGGTGACGTTTTCAGCGTCGGAAAAGCCATGTCCACACATTGGACGCGTACGAGCTGTTGGGTACACGGGTGGACAAAGCGAATTGCGTGTGCGTGCAGCATCATGCGGCCATCTCTTTCAACCCACTTGTCATGCGATGGCTGGCTATTGCCATTCTTCCAGGACGAGTTAAGGCCGTAGCGAACGTCGCCTACGATAGGAGCCCGCAGAACGTCGGCGCAATGGCGGCGCAGTTGATGTTTGCGCCCAGTGTGGGGGTGCAGCTCCAGCCACGAGGTCGACGGCGGATCGCGTTTCGAGCGAGGCAGCACTTTGTACGATGTCTGGGCCGGCTGGAGGTCGATGGGTTCGTGCACTGTGCCGCTCGATCCGGTCGCAGGCGTGCCGTGAACTAGAGCAATGTATGTCTTGTGGACCTGATAAAGACATATATACATGACGACAAGGAAGGACATGAGGCATGAGCAAACCTGGTTGTCGCGAAAGAGGGCGGCCATATCGGCGGCGGCGACGCGGGTTTTGGCGAGAAGTAGCACGCCAGACGTTCCTGGGGATGTAATGTCAACAAGCGAGTGGCAAGGGTGTGTGGCACCTTTGTCCAAGCGATGTACGAGCTTCCAATGCGGGTATCGAGAGGCCACGGAATCGGTCGTGTTGGTCCCAAGCTGCGCGGCGAGATGCACGGGTTTGTGAAGTGCCACGAGGTGGTCGTCTTCGTAAAGCACTGGCAGCGCCAGCTCTGGCGGCAACTTGCGATTGCTGTGCTCGGTGGACGAAGGCGTTATGGCAGCATCGCTTAGCTCAAGGAACAGCTCCGGGTTCATGCCGATGCGCAGATTGGCGTCGTCGGGGAGGACAAACTTCGCGTCCACCTTGACGCGGCGCTGGGTCGGTACATCGAAGAGAAATATTCGCTTCTGCACGTGGACTGTGGATGAATGCAGGACATTGAGGTAGGAACCGGTCGTACCTGTCGCAGATGCCGCTGGAAGAAGCTCTGCGGGCGCTGGAAGTTGACCTTTAGCCACCGATCGAGGCGCATGCGAACATCGTCCTTGAGGATCGGAAACAATTTCATGCCAAAATGAAAATGCGCTTGTGTGATTCGTTTGAAACAGCGTTCTAAACAGTGTTTGAAACAGCGTTCGAAACGTGGGTTGAGAACGCAACAATTCAAATTCAAATCGCCGCCCATCAAAAGCAGCATCCCGCCGTCGCCATCATGAGCATCTACTCGTTCCCCGTTCTCAAGATGACTGGCATCATCCAGTTCATTCGGGACTCCAAGCTCTCGATCTCGGAAGAAGACATCAAGAACTGCGATCCGGCAGCGGTAGGTTTCTACGGACCTCCACATGGCAAGTTGGTGATGGATGTCCTAGGTGCGCCGATTCTTTGAAGCGTTCTTCGAGGTCATTCTCGACATCAGCAAGGACGACTTGACTCAGCCTGCGCTATCGGGACTCAGCGCGCTGCAGCATCCCAATCTCCATGAATCATCCGTTCCAGAGCTGGCCTTCTTCCGCACGTCCAAGAAGCTGTTGGAAGCGTGCGGCGTCGACGACTTTACATGGCGCGACATTCAGAAACCCACGTTGAAGCGACTGCGATATCTCCTTAGTGCTATCATCAACTTTTCCAAATTCAAAGAGGAGCGCAAGGTTCACTTTGACCAGTACCTCAAAACCACGGTACCATCTCCATCGCATGTCCACAGGTCGTTGACATATCTCGATACCCTGCAGGACAATTTGCTTCGGACCAAGCAACAAGTAGAGGACGAGAACGTCGCCCTTCGTCGGCAACTCGAGGAGCTCCAGTACGTCCGCCAATAATCCCCATTCATTCATGCGTTCGTTCATTCTTCGTCCGTGTAGATCCAAGCAAGCGGCGGAAGCGCCTGCGTTGCAAGTCGTGATCGACGAATGCGCGGCCATGGAAGTCGACATCGGAGTGCTCAACACGCGGCAATCTGTGCTGCAGCCAGAAGTCAAGGCCCTCAAAGCCCAAGTCGCCCAGCTCAACGACGACATTGTACCTATCACCTTTATTCGTATGAATTGTATCTCACAATATATATATATATATATATATATATATATATATAGCAATCCCTCAACTTTACCATCGTGGACGCCAAGAAAACCATCCGAAGCATGGAAGCCAAGGTCGTGAACTCGCCCGCGCGCCAAAAATCGGTACCTCCGGCTCTGTTTCGAACGCGTTTTGTAAACACGAGAATGTTGGTCCCAGGAAATCGTGTCGATTGCGCAGCAGATGGACGAAGCGAAGGAAGAAGTGAACGCGCTGGACGGCCGCACCGCGGAATTGGACGGCATCCACGACACAGTGTCCAAAGCAGTCAAGGTCGATATGTATATATATATATATATACATACATCTTGCATTAAAATGAAATCGCGGTAGGACCTTGAAAAAGTAAACGACCTGTTGGAAGCCATCGAAGGCGACATGAACAAGGTCAAAGTCGAGAAGGAGAACGTCACGCAGCTGCACCAGACGTACGAAGGCATCGTGAGCAAGGCCAAGCTCGCTGTTGCGCACAAAGCGGTACGCGAATGACTGAATATGGAAGAGAGCAATGTGGGAATGTATGTTTCATGTGTTGGATATGGCAAGGAGAAGTGGGAATGTATGTCTCCCATGTCTTTTTGGGTGTTGGAGAGGATGAAACTGCTATATGGGAATGTATGTCTCCCGTGACTTTAAGGGTATTGGAGAGTATGAAACTGCTATGTGGGAATGTATGTCTCCGTGTCTTCAACTGTGTTGGATATTTTAAAAAATGAAAAATATAATATGAAAACGAGGTGTGGGAATGTATGTCATTGTGTGTGTTCGATCGTATGAAACTGCTATGTGGGAATGTATGTCTCCGTGTCTTAATTGTGTGTTGGATA